ATGTTATCAGGATAACATTTTAAAATTCTCGTTCTACAAGATGTAAAATTTAGCAAGCTGCATGTTTATATATTAAAATGCGCTGTTTTAGTGCTTCTAAAGATACTATTTTTCCTAGTCCTCACGTTTTCTTACAGTCCGTCGAAAATAAATCGACTCGCGGACGTTTCTTGTGTACTGGACAAAACACAAAGAGAGTGCGGGAGTACGGATGGCTTAGGACAGCGTAGAGAGAAATCTCGAGGTTCATAGGACAAGCCCTACCGTCCATAGGACAAACCCCAGTCTCGGTGGAACGGCGAGCTTAAAATGAAAAAACGAAGAAGACTGTCAAGATACTGTAAGCCTCTCGTATATCTTTCCGCCGGTATCGTTTTTATATTTAAATCGATATTCCCTCGACGGCGTGGGTGACAGTTAGCCCTTTTTCATCCCGATACGAAGGTCGATCGCGAATCGTTGACGGTCTCTCAACGACCGCCGCTTATCCTCTTGAATCTATTTACCATTATAAATTTTTTGCAATAATCGCGCTTGCAATATTCTAGTGGGATCATTTAACTTTAATTACTTCCTTCTTGAAATAATGCAAAAGACTATGATTTATGATCTCACGGGCTATCCATTATAATTTAGAACAATGGAGCTTTCGATGCATTTTTATTTCCTATTTTAGGGGTTTTTACGTACTTAACAAATTACTTAATCATTTACCAATAGCTTCCTAACCGAGCTCTCCAAAAGATTGACAGCTGAATTTCAAACTGCGATGCATGTTTGTTAGTATTTTGCAGCAAGCCGCTCTTACACAGTCAATAACATTTCAGTCACCCATGAATTTATTATAACATACACAGCCTACGATAACAAAAACAGCGAACGAAATTCGACGGATCTCGTACGGACTAAATGAAAAACACGTAGAAAGTAAAACATTACACTATTAAACCTCTATCGCATACAGCTCGTGGGATTTAAAATTGATTCTATTGTTGACGGACATATTTTGAATCTGCGTTCTTTTCTTACGATTGTAGAATTTCTTACCTTAAATTCGCACTTAAACAGAATAAAGACTGAACAGTTATTCTCATTTATTACATCCGCGTCACGCGTCAAAGTGCATTTTATTATCCTAATGAGTCGGATTAGAGAGCGCGTGATTTAACAAGAATGTAATTTGTAGCGGCAGTTTGCACGGAAATGGCGCGTTACTTCTTCATGCATCGCAATTTTCTCGAGCGTGACAAAACGTGCTTGTGGATCGATCCGATCGGCGACAAAGCCCGCCGACGACTTGAATTAATCAAACTAATTTTACTTTGTAACAGTTTAATATGCGCTCGGGCATGCAACCACAGCGATGAAACGAAACGCGCGTAAAACGTCGTTTCATACGACGTTATATAAAGTTTTCTCGGAACTGCCATTCGTTTCAAAACGATACACCGAGAGAAAAATTGTTTGGTATTTGTAACAATTGTAACTACAACTATTACTATAATTACGATTATGACTAGACTATTATAGTATTAGTAATAGTTAGAGATGCACCGGATATCCGGAAAGTATCCGGTATTATCCGGCACTTTTTTACTATTCGAAATTTGTACTCTAATAGAAATATATGAAAATGTATTATAAAATAATGATAAAAATGTCAATTTTTTATATAAGTACTATATGAATTCAAAAATATTTATGTAAAGTTGGAGATGCAGACATTAATTGTTCAGTAAATAAACAAAATATTTATTTGTTATAAACTAATTGGTGAATCTCAATGAAACTTTGCATAAGTCACGTTTAGTACTTAATATATTTATATAAAAAAATTTAGATTTTTATTATTTAAAAAATTTTTGTTTATAACAATAAAACTAATAACAAATAAAATAAATAATCTATAAAAACGTGTTGCTCAAACCTCCTTAACGTACATTTCGGGATATTTCGACAGTTTTGCTAGGCATCGACATGATTTTTTACTACCCAGCTGTCAAAATATGCTATACTTCCTTTCATCAAATCTTTATTCTCTCTAGCTTTTTTTCGCAATTTTGAGTACTTATTTTATTGTCTCATCAAATTGGATTGCTTCTCAGTAGACTCGCTTGTTATCGCTTGCTTTGTCTTATTGTGATTTCTTCCGCTTACTTGTGTCTGTATGAATATGTGTTTATTGAGGTTTGTTGCATATGTAAAGCGCTTACATATGCAACAAACCTCAACAAACACATATTCATACAGACACAAGTAAGCAGAAGATCATACACAGCGCGTGTATGTGTGTGTGAGTGTACCCAGTTTTTCATTATCTGATTAATTTGTGGTTAGGCTAACCTGATATTTTATCCAATAGACTTCATTTATGATGATGTCATGGATGAAATCCATTGAGTGAAACATCAGGTTAGCCCAACCATAAATTAAGTAGATAATGAAAAACCGGGCCTGAGTATATGTTGTGTGTTTCATAACAATGTATGGACGTGTGTTTTTAGACTCAAATTATAAGCGCTATCAAGAGCGTTACTTCGCTTGTACTTTGGCTTCATAACAATAATTTGTCTTGTCATTTACATGTGTACTATTCTGTCACTTACAGTTTTTCTTTATTAAATTCAATCTTTACAAAGTTGTACATTTTGCAATAAAGTACAAGCAAAAGAGTACATTTGCAATAAAATGAAAGTAAAATAAAATTATTATTCTTAATATTATTACTATTATTATTATCTTGCATCGATCAATTTTGCAAATTAACGATAGCTTGAAACGGAAATTCTCATTCTACACAGTTAGAGGTGCTACGTCGATTGCAATCTGCTCCTATAATTATATATGTTATAAAACAATGAGTTGGAGTCGGAGCGACCAATGCGCTCGATCAAATCGAACGGCTATGAACGTGAGGCGTATATAATTTCGTACATAATCCGACGCATTTCCATTGCTAGGTATATTTGCAGCCGTATAACACTGTTCGGAATAGGTGCACCAGTGATCGTTCACCGATAAACGATCACTGTATACTTCCCCATTTCCCCAGGCATATGTAAAATAAATACAACTTTATTTTAAAGCCGATAATATAATACGATTATGTGGCTATTATTTACATAATTATTATACAGAGTAGTGATTGCATAATACTTGAATGTCATTTTCTGGATATTAAGAGAGAAAGTGTAATTGAAAAAAGATGAAAATATCAATCTTTTTAATAGTCTTAAAAGGAATATTTTTTGCATATTTTGAGCATAAAATAATTTTGTAATGTATTCAAATGATTATAAAAAATGAGCTTTATTACATGATCCAAATAACTTCTTTTAAATTTTTATTTGATTTGTCATCATCTAATATTTGTTATACTTAATTTAAAATAGATAAAAATAAATATCTGATAATTTATTTACGAATTTATAAAATGAATAAATTAAAAAATAAATTATTGCAAACGATGTGAGACTAAACAACATCAAAATCTGTAAAATCATATTTTTTAGTTACATTCTTCTGGTTGAATCTTTTTTTTTGGAAATATATCAAATTGATTTTTTAAATTAATTTTTTAAAGAAATGAATAGATGATTTGATATTAAAAAATTATCATTATGTCAAAAGCAATAAAGTTTACAAAAAATCCATAATTAAAATCCGGTAGAAACTTGTTTAGAAAAAATATAGTTCAAAATGTAGTCAGTTACATGAAGAAAGAATATAAAATAGATAATTCGAGTATAATGATCGTGATGAGAAAAAGGAATATAAGAAGATAGATAGTTTTATGATTTCGCGCCGTCTTTCTTGTTAACATGCTCTTCAAATGTAAAAGTTTAATTTAAAAAAGTAATCATTTTTATGTATTTTTTCTGAGTTCGTGCATAGTAACAATAGTTAAAGAAGGTTGTTAAATATGCAGCGCATGAATACTTAATGCAGCGACGAATTCATTAGAATGTTATAACAAAACTGACGTTAATTTGCACACATTTTACGCTGCGTTGATATCAAGGGAACTATTATCTCACGTAAGACGTCGACGTCGGTTTGTTTTAGTTACGCAGGTTTATTCCGAAAGCGCTTATTTACTCGCTTCTACGCCAAATTTCGACATGCGGGCGAAGAGAGAGAGAACTGAAGTTCTCACGAATATCATTATCATTTTCAATTATACATCTTCAAGCAACGTCACTTCATTTCAAAGAGACAACGAAGCGGCATTATAATGAGAGGTGAAAATTCGTCGGGTATTGAATTGGACAAAATGCAATCAAATTATCACCGAGTAAAATTGCTGAGTATTTAAATTAGCGATTAAAGATTATCATTACACATAAATTTAACATTTAATTCGTAATCCGCAACTATATATAATATATGGTGAAAATAATTAGGTCAAATAATCATCAATTGTGATTAAACTATCATTGATTAAATAGCAAATTCTAACTATAACAGGTTCAATAAATTCGAATGTTGAATGTTAAAAGGGTACTTCGAGCTTTCTATAATATGTAATTAATTTGTGTCGAGAATTAATAGGAGAATTAATTAGAACGAAGCAGGCAAGATATAATATATTTCCGATATATATATTTCGATCACATAAAACTAAATTTTAAATTTTATAAGATTTACAAATGAAGATTCGTATCGAATAAAAAAAATAATTCGGTTTCATTTGAATGCATTCTAAGGTGAGAGATCCTTTGATCTTGCATATATAACGTCTCTTCCGAGACACGTTCAATACAGGCTCAGTTGTCTTAATACCCCCCAGCCGATGCACGCGAGCAACCCTTATTTATGCTAACTTATGCATCGCATTTGCATGCGCGCTCGAAATATCTGCAATGAAACGCTGAGGCGTGAGGCAGACATCGCTCTTTTCGAGATTCGATATTAAAACCTCCGGTCGAATGATACGCGCGAGCTCGCGGGAGACAATCGCGCTTCTCGGTCATGGTTTTCCTATTGTTACAGCGACTCACAAACGCGTGCCCGTAACGCGGTCGACTCTGAATTGGAATTGTTAAGCGTCTGTGTTTCCTCGATTTGCTCCATGCTTGTCGCTGAAATCGGTCACATCACGAAGTCTCCTCTCGAGAGGAACGGAAAGGTGAGCAATGCTCGTGGAGTTCTGTTGAAACCGACAGGTTTCCAAAGTTTCTCGCTTCACGTTTATGGCTTCACGCTCAGAGACCTTGTTCGCCCAAGGGGTTGTTCACAAGTCGCATGAGGGTTGCGAGCGTCCGATCCGTGACTACCTCTAAGATTTCGTGAAGTTGTACGATCGCAGTTTCCTCGGACGTCGTTCAGTGCAGAAAATCCTCAGGTAAAAGAACGAGGAAACAGATACGAAAAAAGAAACCACTGTGATAGTCCAGTGGCTTGATTGGATCGGTGACCACAACTAAACAGCGGTCCAGACGGTTCATCGATACCGATTCTGAGATATCGCCGCAGGTGAATTACGTTGCATTCACAGTTGAAGAGAGAGCTTTCCCTTTCCAATTAACTGCCCCGGGCAGTCTTTATGGATCCCTAATTGTATACCCTTAAGCGTTCTGCAGTACAAAACGCATATATAGATGCACGAAGCGATTTCAAATGCGTGTATATCAGCACGAGACACTATACCGTGTCTTCTGATATAGAAAAAAATCGCAGTGTATACATTAGGAAAAAAATTTAGTAAAACTGGTATTTTCAGGGTTGCCACAAAACTGGAAACCAAGGAGTTGTCAGGGTAACTGAAAACAGTAAATCAAGAAAAGATTAGGTTCAAGGAATTTTGCAAAACTTTTTGGAAAATTGAAATTCTTGGCTTTAAAGAAGTTTAATATATACTTTCTAAATCTATAAAGAAATATTTGAAGACGAAAAGAGTATTAAATAGAATTTAAAAAATGCCTCGACTAAACAGTTTCTTGAAGACATTAAATTTTGTTTGTTTTTTTTTTTAGTTTAGTGTACACATTAAGAAATTACAAGAATTTTATTATTGCTAACGTTAGTTAAAGACCCTATTTTACATAAAATTTGATTTGACAATCAGATCGAGAATGTTTTCCAGCAAGAGACACAGATGACACAGTGAATCATTTCATTTTTGTTTAATTAGCAAACAACAAAGATATAATGATTCACTATGTTACACTGTGTCTCTTAATGGAAAGTACCAGAGTTAGAACTAATTTTACACTCGACAGTTTACACAATACTCCAGTTATCATGCTACTATTTCAACACGCGACTTAATCCATTCATTTTTCACGTACACGTTCGCGCTTTGTATCTACCGACCCAGCCTAACGGAAGTCATTAAACTTTCTATTAATCATCCAACTGAAATAGAACACCGGCGATCCGCGGAGCTATTGAAAGCCGATTAATTGCGTTCCTTTCTTCTCTTTCAAACACCGTGGATTGATAAAGAAATCGATCGGAAACACTTGACGATAAACTGCTCGGGGAACATTCCGGACTGCCATATTCCGGTTCAATTCGGAATAGCGACGGAAACTCTGCGGCACGGCAAAAGTTTTTCAATAACCCTTTAAAAGCAACGCGCGTCCGCGATGATGTCAATTTGACTAACAATTTAGCGTCTCGCGATTGCCTCGGTGAACCGAACGAAACAGACGATAACCCCTTGAGTGCGTTGAAATAATCTGACGAAGAAGCAAAATGAAGTAATTAAAGAAGGGTGAAAGACAGGAAATCCCGATTCGAGATACGCAAGTGTCTCGAAATGAAATTTAAAATAGACGAGGATTAGCACGTGCAAAAACCCTCTTTCTTACGGATGCAGTCGCGCGGCGAAACGTCTCGCGGGTGAAGAGGACGTGACAAAACATTGAAGAGTCCATTATGCAAAATACGAGGCGTAAAAAATTAAATGGCCATCCACGATATCCGTCTACTTATAAAAAGTCGTAAAAAGGAAAATTCTGTATTATTTCTCCACTGGAAAAAGTGTCGAGTAATAGCTATCAAATATTGAAGGAAATAATTTCAACTGTGTTTGGTTAATATAATAAAAAATAATTTTACTTGTCTAAATATTTAGAAAAGTTATTACCGATAATATAACCAACCATAAAATTATTTTTTGTTATATTAACATTTGATTGAAATTATTTCCATATCCATTAACAAATCTACTATTTAATTGGCTACAAGTGCTTGAACAAGTTAAACAAATTTATCAAAGTTCATAAAGATAAAACACAACGTGAACAAAATAGTAATATAATTTATAAATTATCCTGCAATGATTGTAATGCCTCTTATGTGAGTCAAACGAGAGAGAGAGAGAGAAGAGACAATTGCAGACTAGAATGAAAGAACCGTAACAATATAAAATTAGCCCCATCCAAACACTCGGTTATTTTTAAATACATCATAGAAACAAATCACAATTTTAATTGGAAAAATGTCAATATCCTAGATTTTGAAATGAATTTCCGAAAAAGAGCTATTTCTGAAATGATTCATATGAAAGACCAAGAAACGGGTTAAATCTTATGAAAAATACAGAGTCTTTGGACGCTTATTTTAATATACTTGACGATATAAGAGAGCGAAAAAGTCACAAATTTGAACAGACTTAATTTTATTATTTTTATTGACATATGTGGACCTACACATTTCATCAGTTACATTTCAACAGAGAAATACGTTCCTATCCTTTTAACGTTACCCTGTCAGATTCTATGAGGATTTTGATACAGTATTTTATATACTCTAGCGTGAGTATTCTTGGTTCTATATTTTCTCTACCATCTATTCACCCCCATCTCATTTCGACTTTGCAGAATATCATAGGATATGTGTGTCAAACGAATTCTCAAATTGTCAAATCTGTGACAAGCTGGATTCTCGACGTCAACCGAGAAATTCGGATTATTGTCTGTACCACCTTACTTATGGACTTAAATTACGACCGAAGTATCTCTTCGTACATTTATACATCATTTCAACATTTATATTGACGATCATTTGTATAATGCGACATATAGCTTCTGTTATATTAAGTACGCCAAACTATATTTCATTATTTGACTATGTAATCGCTGAAGAAGGCTTTGTAAGCCGAAACGTTTGAATTTTATATTATATTTTGTTGTATATTTTCTATTGTATGTTAACTGATAATTTGAATTCACCTATTTATTAGTTCGAAATAAGCCACGATTCTATTTTATTGTTTTACAACTAATTCGAGCCTTTACCTATTAATTTGAAATTATTTCACTCAACATTTAATAGTTCTTACTGGACTTTTTGCAGTGTTTGCGAATGGCGCAGGATGAAAAATAATAATGTATGGTTAGCAAAATAAAAAAGGAAAAATTAGAAAGGAAAGGGGGATGTTAAATTAGAGCTGTTTTTTGCCGAAAAAGATGAATAAGTTATATATTATATTAAAAGGCTACGTAATCTACTTCTCTCCCCAACGTCCTATTTATAGGACAGCATCATTTAAATTTTTTGCCCCTATATGAATATTCCATATAGAGCATCTTTTTAATTTGTTATACATATGAATTATATATACGTATAGAGAAAAAAATTAAAGAGATGCTGTCCTATAAATAAGACAGTGGGAAGAAATGGCTTAAGAGTCGAGTGGCATATCGCTTATTTTAAGGAAACATTGGGAACGTATTATAGAAGAAATCGTTAGCAAAAAGACGAATAAATTTAAAAGTTGTTGAGATATCAAAGTATTTCGGGAATTGAGCAACAAAAACTGTATTGTTAATACTTAAACACGTAAGCTAACTTGGTATAAGTTAGGTTCGTTATTTAAAGCTAGAATTCGAACAATTATTTTGTATCAAACTTTTTATTGCTTGTTGTTCGAAAATATCCTCCAAGTTTATACAATTCTTATTATCTTAACTCTCGACATATCTTTATGTTTCATCTAACAACTTTTTATCAATAAATGTGATAACGTTAGATTATTGACTTTTATCGCGAATGTTTTCATAATCCCAATGTTTCCCCAAAATAAGCGATGCACCACTTAACTCCGCTTGAATAGTTTTAATATGATATACATATAATTTGTACATCCCGGAACTTTTTGATTTTAACCGAAAAACAACATCCTCCTTTAAAAGTGCCCCTACACAATACTATCAATATTAACAAATACTGGCAATATTCTGGATAGTATATGATTAATATTAATAGATAGAATACTGATGGTGATCTGGATTTTGATTCTCGAGCATCAGTATCGTTTTATTAGGATCATGGATCAATGAAATTATATACTTAATATACTGAAGATGGCTCGAAAAGAAGCTGAAACGTCTGTATCATCATCGATTTAATTAAACACTTGTTAAATTAGATATTTGATAACTGTTTTCGCACCAATTACCGCGCAAAAACTCTCATTAGTCCGAGTTCCTTTTTATTGTATTTGACATTATTGAGAGTTCTTTGTTTTTATTTTGACGTTTCGGCTTCTTTTCGAGCCACTTTCAATGTATTAAGTAATACAATAATTTCATCCGTACTTCTTTGTTTCTATTTTTACTTAACTTTTTTTCGATTTTAGTATAAAGGCCATTGCATCACCTCCTAATAACATTTAATATTTTGACAATCTGCGCTTTTATTCTTCCACAGGCAAATGCCGATCATTTTACAATAGGAAGAGCAAAGCAAGATTGAAGTAATTCCAGAATAGGCCAATTTGGACTAATTGTAAGATAATTAAAATCAAGCGATATCCCACAGAAAAAAAAGTTCAACCACCATGAATTGCGTCGCATAGTGGCACGAATGGAGAACGTTATAATTAAACGTCTGTGCACGATGTCGGAAGAAATGCGGAAAGAAGCGGTACTGTTTGTTCCACTTCTGCTTGTTTAAGAAGAACTTAATTAATTCCGCAAATACCGGTCGTTCCTTTTGCATCCGACGTCACCGGCAAATATAAACATACTTCTTCAAAAAATCTTCGCGAACTTTAAGTTTCAAGAATGTAAGTGGCTAAGTAAAACACTTTTCCCACGGATATTTTTACACAATTCTCGTAG